TATTTTAAAATGTGGGAACGTGGTTAAGCAGAGCAGAGTCTGCCCTACTCCTTCTTGCTCCCAAGCAATTTGTTTCCCTTTCCTGGAGGAGTAGAGACACCTCTCCCGGGACCGCTGCCCCCGGCTCTGAACACAAATGGATCGGCAATAACGAGCAGCTCTGGGGACTCACAGAAATGGATGTACTGAGGTGTGGAGTGGGTGGGAAAGCTGGAGGCAAGTGCCGATGCTGGTTTGCATGGGGAAGCTCTGTGCCCTATGAGAACAGACTGGGCAGGGAGGAGGCAGGGCGGCTTTTTCGGTGGGGACCTGAAAAGCAAAGAAGTTTGTGCAGATGCGCGGCCGACCCAGGGCTCAACAGGGCAGTGCTTATGGTAGTGGCTATCCTGAGTTACTTTAAAAAGAGCATGACTAAGCTTAAAATCAAGGTGGGATCTTTTATTACTGATACTGGCAACGTACCTCACAACAGCCTTTTTCTGCTGTAAAGATGGGATTAGAGATGTCAGTCAACTTACCCTCTTAATAACATTTTGTAGTTCCCTTTTTTGCCTCGGCTCCTGTGTTGTGCCCGCAGACCAGTAACCCGCTTGCCCTCTCCCAGCTGTGCAGTTCTTAATGCTGCATGCATGTGGATTTCCATTCTCTAAATTCTTTACAGAAATTCCTATTCAATTTAATAATTCATATCCTCATTAATCTAGCCTATTACACCATATTTTATAACCATTACATTCACTAACAAGGAGCACATTATTTTGGAGACAGCTTCTGTGCAGTGTCTCATGGTACAGATAGTCATTACAGATGGGTGCTGTGTTTCACGTAATGAACAAAAGTCTGTGTAATCCCCACAAATCCCATTGCAAAACTGAGGTTTAAAAAATCTTGGCCACAATAACTTCAACTTTAAAAAGTCACTATAAATCCTGCTTTTATTTATTTTTCCCCTCAATGGTCATCTTTCTACCCACAAGCCGGTGCATTTGCTTGGTCAGCTCCGCTCAGAGAGGTCTGTCCCTGTGGATTTTCTCACCCATGCTATTGTGAGTGCCCCCAGCACCGCAGCAGGGAGGAAAAGCTGCAAGGAACCAACACCTTGTTACATATTTAGTGTCTCTTCTGTGATTGTGTGAGACTTTCTGTTTCTCATGTGAAACTTACTTTGCTTGAAAATTATTTTTCAGATTTTTCCAGTGGCATTGACATCTCCTCTGTCCCATCCAGTGGCATAACCTCACCCCTGCATTGTGCCTGTTATTTGAGATACATTGCTTGCTCTCTTTCCAGTCATTTAAATCTCTTCCCCCTGTAAGAGTGGTAGTTAAATCTTTATTTGACCTGTGCTTGTGTTGAGGGCTCTGTGCAGTTTTTGAAAGGCATCACACCCTAGGAATCCCAATGGATTTGGGTGACATTTGAGCAGTTTAACTACAAGCTGTCTTACGGGGATTTGTCAGCCAGTGCGTTGCTGAGACTTTGCCAGCTGGAGTCCAAAGGCTGTGCCTGATTTACTGGCAATAAAGCCCATTGCACTGGCCTTCATCTTTCTCGGAAAGCATCCTGGAGTGAAACTGTGCGAGAGGAGTAGCTGCTCTTGTCGGTTCTTCCCTATGTGGAGGGACCATGTGCTGCCTTAATGATGCCGATGCTCTCTGCTTTAACTAGCTCTGTGTGAGGCACTGCATATCTTTATGCAGCTGACAAATTATATGACAGGTTAAAGATTATTCTAATCTGCTCTGCTACTCTTCTGGAATAAGCTGAGAAGGGAGCATTTACCATATGCGCTGTGTTATTCTAACTAGTGTATCCAACCTTGTTTATCTGTCGCCTTCACACCTCGTGTTTTTCTGTGATTCAAAACTGATTTACTGTTAACTGTTTACAGTAATTTGAACAAGAGAGGCTTGTCAAACAGACAGGAAAAAGGTTTAATTGCTGATTTTCCATGTTCTCCTGGGCTGGATCTGTAGGATTCCCATTCAAGGGATGAAGGAGAGAAGCGAATGGCCCATGTAAGCAGACTTGTTTCTTGGCTATCTCAGCAATTGTCCTCGATACAAGTCAACAGCATTGGATGTCCCAGCTTTCAGCCTTTCCTATCCCATTTTTTTCTTTTAGAAGTATAGATAGACAGGACGGATGAGTCATGTTTGAGCTGTAGCATTAGAGGCTTGAAAGGCTCTTGTGCAAGGCATTGTCTGTTGCATTGCCAGTGTTTGGATTCCTTTTTGTACTTGCTTTACCGTTACAGGAAGCATTTTACCCTGTAGGTGATACCATCCCACATCTTCCTGCATAAGATCTTGTGAAAAATTTACGTAAATAGACTTTGCCTTAGCGGTCAGGCATTGCCTCCTTAGAAACCTGGAAGGGCTGGCTGTTCCTTATCTCTGTGCTGGCAGGACGGAAAAATAGCATGTGCAGCCTGTGCAGGGAAGAGTGTTCATTGGTTTTGCAATGAGTCACGAAGCCCGATTTAAAGAATTGATGCTTAGTAATGCAACAACTGTGATGATGGAGTCTGGAGCGAGGAAACAGCTACGGGACATGTTAAATCACATTCAGAAAAGCACATCTTGGCTGGAGATAACCATGTTGGTTTTCATCCATTTTGATGAAATGAAAGCTATGTTGACCTGTCTTATGTGTTCAACGCCTAGATTCATAGTTGGTGAATCAGTACAGTAGATTTAGAGTTGATAAGGTAATTCACAGTTATATCTGAAGATGTCCAAAAGAGGAGGGGACAAGGGTAATGGAGATGAATGGCACAGTGAGAATCTTTTTTAAAAACGCTGTAGTTGAATTGATTTATGCAGTAAATTACATTAACCAACAGAAAAGGCATCGCACAGCCTTCCCTTTCAAAGAAGGCTGAGGAAGCAGGCCAGGTGGGAACTGTGGAAAAACAGATCTTTCACCCAGTCTTGTGTCTGGTACTGATGTTTTCTCTCCTGTGTGCTCTACCGTTTGATTTATGAGTTTTTGCAGGCAGTCTCTGAAGTGCATGAAGGGTTGGGGCAGCTGTGTCCTAGAGGGGTAATTTCTCTCTTTCTCTGCATGACTGCCTGCCTGTCTGCTAGGGGTTTCATGTAAGAATATATTTCTCTAAAGTCAGAATTGAGCAGCAAGTAATTGGTCTGGCTGGAGATGAGCTGGTCAGCTTATGGAAAGCAGAGTTAGGGGACAGGGAGAGTAAACTTCTGTACCCCTTTTTCTTCTGCACTGGTAAAGCTGCTGCTTTCGTAGCTGTTGTTTTTCTCATCTGTTCATTGTGGGTCAGCGATTCTGGATCAAAAAATTCTAATGCTGGGCCTGAATTTGAGGTTCATAATTCAGCTTTTCATCTTTATGCTGCTACTGGGATGCCTTGTTGTCTTAACAAAGTTGCACGAATGCTGTGTATCTTGACTGCCCAATGAGAAGAACAATACCTATGTAAACTTCTTAGGGATCTGTAAAGGAAGTGCAGAATTGCTATTTGTTGCATCTTTGACTTTATAATTTCAGTCTTGATTTCCTACTTAATCCATAATCAGGTACAGCTAGATTCACAAAGAGTAGCTTTCTTGCTCTTTGTGTAAATTTGATCCCACCCCTGGGTTCAGCTCAGGCTCGCTGGCACCATGCGAGTTTGGAAACCTCTTGTCACTGGAATTAGCCAGATCGCAATGTGCTTGGGCACATTTTCTCTCTCTAAATACCCTGTTAGTTATGCCTCTAGCAACTACAAAGGGGTATTACCCAGATGTGGCCTTGCCATACACAGCTAAACCAGAATGGAATGTAAAACCTGATGTGGTATTGAAGAGTACTATTGCAGTACAGAAGATTTTTGATGTTTCCTGGAGAAATGTTCCTATGGGGGCCTCTATGTACTTTGCAACCAAACCGCTGCTCATGTGAAGAGTAGAGTGTGTTGAGGTACTGCGTATGTACGCAGCCTGGGAGAAAAGTGCGTACAGGGCTTTAAATAGCTTACGAAAATATTTGTCACCAGTACAACGTGATGCTTCTCAAACTGGATTATGATAGGAGGCTAAAAGTTGGGAATTTTTTTTTTTTAATTAAACTAGCTGTTTTAAGTAGATTCAATGAAAAATTAAATAGAGACAGAAAAGAAATTAAGCTCTATGACAGTAATGATGTTTTAGAAATTCTTTGGTGCATCCCATCCCCAGAAATTAACCCTTTCTTGGCAATGCTTAACAAGAAACTCTTGGTACTTCTTTTTAATAGAGGTAGGGAAAGTAGTTTGAAGCTGCCTTTATTTTCTTCAGTCTTCGGTGGGGAAAAAATTTACTTTTTTTCTGGTTAACTTTTTTATTTCTTGTTCCTGTCTTCATGTCTGTTTTGTCTTTTTGCTGTGCTTTTTTTTGGTGGAGCTTTTAAATTTTAAGCGTCTCAAGGAAGAAATGCTTGGTCAAATTTTGTCCTCAGTTACTTGGGGGAAAAAAGTCAGAAAAATATATTGACTTTGCTGATATAAGGCTGGATGTTTATTAAAGTAACCCACTAGCAAACCAACAGAAATTTATCCTGTTCTCTTTGTTCATTTGTAAATTGACCTGTCTAGTTATGAGGCTACATAAGTAAAACACAGCTGGTTATTTTCAATTGCTTTTAATTCAAGGCAGAGGATCCAGCACCTCCCAAAGTGGAGTGACCGAAGCAGTGCTTGTCTTTTGGTGAAAAAGTCAAAAGTGTGGTGTACAGCCTTAAAAACGAGCCTCAGTGTTATATTCCGGCTCTGCAAAATTATCCTTTCTCTTCATCCAAATGTTCAGCTGCACTGACACCTCCAAGCAGATCCTTAAACCCAAGAGCAGATGTTTTAATGCTCTTACCTTTGCTTTGTCAATATGATGTGTCAACAGCAAGTTGTAGCCCTGCATTTACATTGCAAGCGCTGGGCTGCTTCGGGCTGGTGACTTGCTCTTTGACCTCATTCTTCCTTTGAACCTGCTGCTGCTGTGCATGCTCGTGAGCCGCGTCCCTCAGCCCTGCGCCTGTTTGTCTTGTAATCCGCAGACAAGAAAAAAGCAGGCAAATTCCAGCCTTTCAAGAAGCTCTTCGGCAAGAGGAAGAAAAGAGAGCCCGTGTCAGACTGCGAGGAAGCCAAACTGAAGCCCAGCCACTCCTTCGGCAACGTCTGCAACGGCACCTTCTCCTCCGATGAAGAGCCAAACGGTGGTCTGAGGTAAGCACACGCGGATCTGCTCCCAGCCTGTGCAAACACAAGGCTTGTTCTCCCTGCTTTTGATGGAACTAAATTTAAATTCTGCCTCTGGTGAGGGGTAGCAAGTTGTATGCCGCTTTTTACAAAGCGTGTGCATCTCTTTCTCTCCTCTGAACGTGACACCCGCTGCTGTAGACCCCGAGGTCTCGCTTCTTGCATGCGTTACTTACTGGGTACATGTGCCCGTCTGCAAAAAAGAAATCCCAGGGTGAAATGAATTTGAATCCGGCTCTGTGATTTAACAGAACTCCATGGTGAACACCTGAGCAGAGGTATTAGTGGCATCTGTGTTTTTAAAACTGGGAAAAGAGGAACTTGAACTGGCTGCTACAGGTACTTTATTGCATACTTTTGCCTGCAAGGTGGTATCATCAGGACAGACACATCCTTTTTCAGTCTATGCCGTACAGTTTTTGCATTGTAATTGGGATCAACAAATAGCCTGCTTTTATTGTGATCCGATTTGAATGTAGAGTAGAAGAAGGAAGAGAGGGGAGAGAGGCGCCTGGTAATCAGATCATATTCCAGTGACTAAGAGAAGATGACAGAAGGACAGCATGAGAATTTTCTGTAGAAGTGGTGGGAGAAAGAAACTGTACAGAATTATCTAGTCAGCAGTCTCTAACTAGGAACAGAAAAAAAAACCCAAACAAAACCGAAAACCACCACCACCACCACCCCTCCCGCAAAAAAAAAAAACCCTCACTCCAACAACAGTAAAAAGCCAAGCCCAGATGCACAACTAGTTGGGTCAGTAATACTTATTTCACTTTCCAACTGGACATCTCAGAGAGGTTAGCTGACTCCTGGTCAAAGCCTGGTTCTTTGGAAGAAAAGGAACTGTTGGCACTGGAGAGTGTCAGTATCTGAAAGTAACAAAAAAACTGAGAGGATCAAAAAAACATACCAAATTCCTCTTCTTGGGAAAGAATTGTGTATCAGAAACATCACCCTCCACAGTATTTTCAATGGTGCAAAATCATAGCTGTGAAAATGTGATTTTATTTTTGGGGGGTTTTTTTGATCCATTTTGTGAAATTCTGTAGGTTCTAAGTTTCCCCTTTGGTTTCTGCAGTGCAATTTTGTACGCATCTTTTGCCTGTCCCAGCTTTTCGGAAAACTTAAGACTGAGCACAGCCACGCTGTAGATGGAGATGTGACTGACTGCTGTTGCATTGCATTACCTGTGTGCATGATGCCAAGCAACTTGTACCTTTGGCCTCAAGAACAAACTAGCGAACATGAGCAAAACAAAGGGCATCATCTCACTATCAGGGATTTCGCATTCAGGGTAACTGAAAATGCGGTGCTACGCCCAGAAGCAAACAGTGATATGGGAACTTGTCCCATTCCTCAACAGTGAAGTGAAGGTGTGGCAGACCCTTGTGAGACTGTTAAATGCTTGCATTTTTAAACATATTAATTATTCTAATTAATAAAGGCATTAAATGTAAGCCTCTGGTGGAATAAATCAGACCGCACAATTTAAATCACGAGGAATTAGCAGATGTGAAGGGTCCCACGTCCCCTCTCAAGTGGAACATTTCTTTCTGCACCTGTCATTTGTGAGTTCTTCTGTTTTAGCCTGCTAGAAATACTCAGTCAAAACTCTGTTTTCCCTGTCAGGCTTCATGCTGCAAATGTGGGTGGGATTTGATAATAATTATCAGTTTGGAGGTGGTGTTTGCCATGTTACTTATCTTACAACAAGCATAGGTGTTCAGTGCAGGGCATTAGATCGCTTTGAGGAGCTTAGTTTTGCCACCCCTTTCTGTTTTCAGCAGCATGGTTTCCATCCATTATATTTTTTTGCCTTTAGTATAATTCAAATGTTTATGAATTCAATGCAGAGATAGGCTATTTAAGTAAAATAATGTATGTGGTTGTTTACAAGTTGTCTAACAGTAAATACATTGCCATATCTTCCACTATTCATACAGAAACGGACCAGAGCAAATATAGATAACTAATAGTATAGTTATATAACCAAAATCCCGAGTCGTTTTATAAAATCTGTTCTTCAAACTCTTTAAAAATGTACAACAACCATATATTTACAAAAGCTTAAGAAAAGTTCCAATTTTGCAACAAAAGTTCAGGGATGCTCCCCTTCCCTTAGTAGAGCTATATTTTTTCATCAACCTGTAAAGTACATTAGTTTCTTACATGCAGATGTTTCATGCGGACATTTTGTTTTGGGGAGAGGAGGTTGTTATTTTGAAAAGGTATTAAGGGAGGAAGCTAGAGACAAGCAAATAAATGATTATAGGCTAGGTAAGACCTCTGTACTGCTTCCAGGACCTAAGCTAGTATTTCACTGTGTGCTGTATTGGCTTACAAGCCTGCTGAGAGCTAATGCCTGAATCTCTAATGGAGACTGTGCCAACCGGGTGATGCAGACCTACCGGGAGCAATTTAGGTAATCTGCATACGGTGTAGATTGACTAACTGAGTTGGAAGCAGCCTGCGAGATCTGCCTGTCCATCCTTTCTTACAGATATTTCCTGGATTCATCAGATGCAAATAACTTGCTTGGTATCCTGATGTATGCACTCTTCAACATATTTATTCATCCTTGTTGTTTTGCAATTCCCAGGTGGGAGGTTTCCTACTGCAATTTGTCTTGCCCTGCCTTGTAAAAGACCAGAGTTCCTTTTCCCACTTTTATATTGCCTGCCCTTCTTGAGTTTACGAAGTTACAAGTGTATTTTTTAACTTTCCGTCCTAACCATATGAGCTAGGAGTTAAAGTGCTTATCACAAGACAAGTTAAGTTGCGTTTATGGAGCTTCACTAAAGTCTCCAGAAGGTTCTGTTCTGAGGCTGTGATTTATAAGATTTTGTATTTGTCTCATTTGTCACAGCTGACACTAAACAAGCATTGTGACGACAACCAAACCAGAAAGGCACTGCACAGGTGCTCTACAAAAAGTTTGTCATTCTGGGTTGATGTGCAAAGGCAGCGTGAGATTCGTTTTTTCTTATAGAGGATACAGTAGAGTGCCTTTACTTGGGCTGGATGCAATATTTCAAAGGACCTGGAATTAGACCTGTCAGGTCTTTAAGACTCAAGTGTGACAACATTGATCTTCTTCCAGGGAAAAGCCTCTCAGCAAACTTCAGTCTCTTGAATGTGCCTGTCCATGAAATGGAACTCCTTTATTTGTAAATCCCTATCAAGTTCTACATAATCCCTGTAAAACTGTTCTCAGGTCACCTACATAAAGCCATCCTCATTACGAGGAAGTCGCCTAAAGATCTTAGTTCTCTCTATGTGCTGAGGAAGACTGCCTGTGAAGAAGAAAAGTGAGAGATTTCCTGTTTTATAAACAACTTTGCCCGGTATTTACTGAATCTTTGTCAGCATGAATTGCTATTGGGACTGGATCGCAAATCTCCCAGCTCTTTGCCTGGTAGAGCTGTGCTAAACTGTACAGCGGTTACTACTCAGCTTATGAATTCAGCTGCTTTTCTGCTTGTGGGGACCAAGTGCATAAACAGTGTGATTTCTCCGAATGTATTAGTCCTTTGGAAATGCCTCATTTTGGCCAGCAGAGTTGGTATTTGCTGTTCAAACTGTACCCTTGTTGTACTTGAGCAGATAATTCAGAGAGATCATCTAAGTGCATTGTGTCACTTCCATGATTGTAGAAGCCAAAAGCATTCCCTTGCAAATATGGAGTTTGGTTTCTGACAAGTTTACCAGCAGAACTTCAAAATTATCTTTCCTTGACAATTGTTCTGACATCTTGCCAGGAAACTTCAGTTCTAGAAATGTAAACTGGGCATATGCAGAGCTGAAGGAAAAATCTTTCAGTACTTGTAATATTTGCCCAGTGTCTGTACTCAAAGATGGGCTTCACGTGAGTTTAAGGCAAGTATTTTGCACAGTTCTCATCACTAGACTATAGAGATAAGCAAAATAAGCAACGAACTGTTTATGGACTAAAGCTGGGGCAAGGAGCACAGTCTGTTCCCAAGCTGTGTCAGGAGTTTTATCGCTTGTGAAGGGAAGTTCCTGGGGGGAGGCCCCAGAGTGGCAAACCGGGATGCAGTGGCAGAGATGCAGCACAAGTCAGGTCATGCATCTGTATGGAGCTGCAAGTTGTGTGAGTGGCTGCCTTCTCCTGGTGGGAACTGAAGTCTCCTGAATTTCTCCAGGCAGTCCATCTGCCAGCACCAACAGTGAGTATTTCCATTTGAAAAAAGCAGAAGAAGGATTGGGGAGAGGGGAAAAAAAACACATTTCATTGTCATCTTAAGAGGCCTTCATTTAGTAATTCACTAAACTTAATTTTTATCAGAGGTTGGGTGGGTTGGGCTGTTTCACTGGTGGCTTACACCTGAGTCTGAAAGCCACAGACAGCCCGAAGGTGAAAAGACAGTGGTTTCATACCAGCCGTCAGCTTTTATAGTGCAAATGTGGCTTCTCTCTGCTTAAGAGAGGCCGATGGCAGTGGTGGAAAGAACGTCAGTGATGAATGGACGGGGCTTCCATGGGATGAGGCACCTGCACAGCATATTTCTTGGTAGATACCTGCCTGCTAGTGGCCTTCCTCAAAGGATTGTTTAAAGGTGAAATAATGTGATCAGGCTTTGATCAGTCAGTCATGGTATCGGCAATAAATCCCAGAGAGCTGTTGTTGTTTATCTAAGAGGTGTTTGACCTGTAAAGTATAAATTTTAATTTTACATGAATTTTTAAATTCTGTGCCTGAATGGCCACAAAGGGCAGAAGCACAAATTTTCAGGCAGAGAAAGGATAGGAAGCATAGCTATCAACATGGCTAAATCACAATCTCTTTAATGGATTGAAATTTGATAAAGAAGCCTACAAAAAGTGGAAACAAATGATGAATCACAGAGGGATGTAAAAGATAAGAGGGAGTCATTTGATGAATTCTTTACTGATAGGAGAAGGTTGGTCCCCTGTAAACAAGGAGGGAATGATAGCAACAAATA